GGCTCCGGGCTCCCTCTCTCGGGATGGGGCCTTGCTGGTGGTTCGACCGTGCGGCCCCCCGGTTGTTGCGGCACGGGCCTCTGCTTCGGGGCGTGTGCTCTTGGCTTCTCTGGGCTCCCCGAGTGACCAGGCCTTCGGCGACAGGATTTTTTTCGATCCCGGCGTTTTTCCTTCATCTCGGCTTCCGGGGCCCCGCTGTCGGGCCCGAGGACTATCAAGCATGGGTCCGTGGCGCAAAACGACGCCTTGGGAAGGTGTCGGGACCTCTGGGGCCGCGCATGGTAGACATCGGTGCATGTCAGGGGTCCTGCTCCCTCACCTCACCCTCATCCACATTCTACCCCCATCGTTATCACTCTCATCCCCACCCAGCGCCTGCCCCTGGCTGTGTCGTTAATCTTCCCATCTTCACCTTTGCCATCATTGTCAGCATTCCATCTTCATCATCACCTTCTTTGTCCTAGTTTGGACCACCCTGGTGCATGTGCATCTTTACTCTGATCGTTACCCACAGTCATCGTCGTTACCAATTTTACCCGCTTCCCATCCCGCGCTATCTTCGCTTTCTATTTATTCATCGAAGAGGCTTTCGCCATTCCGACCCCCAGACGAGGAGATGTGCGGCTTCAGATTTCGTCAGAGTGAGGGTGCCGAACGGTCATTCATTGTCCCTGGGTGCGTGACTGAAAAAGGAATTCGTGGTGAGAATTCTGCTTGTTGCGTCGTTGTTGTTGTTGTTGTTGTTGTTGTTGTTGTTGGTGTTGGTGTTGGTGTTGGTGTTGGTGTTGGTGTTGTTGTTGTTGTTGTCGTTGTTGTCGTTGTTGTTGTTGATGATGTTGAACTCTCATTTCTGAAGAATAATTTTTGTTGATCCCCCCTCACCGGTGCAGATTGTTTCTAAATCAAAGTGTGCCACTCGACGCTCGCACCGTGTTTTTGTCACAAGGAAAGTCTTGGTGCTCAAACTGTGCCCCTGGCCCCCCGGATTACAACAACAACGGCTCCCGCCTGAGATTTCTTCAAAATTTATTCAGGACCCCCGCTCCTGAGACTTCCTTTCAATTTGCTCAGGATCAGTGCTCCCGCCTGTGCCTTCCTTGCAATTCAGTCAGGACCCCCGCTCCCATCTGAGACTTCCTCACAATTTACTAAGGAACGGCGCTCCCGCTTGAGACTTCCTCGCAATTGAATCAAGACTTCCTTGAAATTTAATCAAGACCCCCGCTCCCGCCAGAGAACCGTTCACATTTTATTCAGGAATTGCGCGCTCGTCTGTAACTTCCATGCGATACTCGGAAATCGCGCTTTCGACGCTCAGGAAACACGCTGCGCCAAGGACGCCGTTACAATTTACTTAGTAATCGCGCTCTCGCCATACTCATGCATCCCGCTTGAATGTCCCACCCGCCCGACCCGCCCGTCAGGGGATCGCCCGCCCGTCGTGGGCTCCCGCCCCAGACTTCCTTCAGGAACGGCGCTTTCGTCCAGGACTTCCTCGAATGTTCACGCTCTTACCTTTCTGCTCCTCCTCTCTCTATCCCTCGTCCCTCCTCCCTCCTCTCCTCCCTCCTCTCTCCCTCCTCTCTTCCCTCATCCTTATGCCTCTCTGCTCTATCCCCTCTTCCTCCTCTCCCTCCTCCCTTTTCCCTCCCCTCTCCTGCCTCCTCCCTCCTTTTTTTTGTTCTCTCTCTCTCTCTCTCTTTCTCCCCTCTCTCACTCTCTTTCTCTACCTCTCTTCTGTCTTTCTCTTTCTTTTTCTCTCTCTGCCTCTAATCAACCGCCCCTTTTCGCTCCTTCTCTCCTGGCGTTTTCCCTCTTCCTTCGTCCTTCCCCCTTCCTTCCTCCCAGTCCCTCGTACTCCCCATCCTTTTTTTTGCAGTGCCCACCAATTCCAATGGCGGGCACATGTTCGCCCACGAAGGATTGTCCGCCCGTTCAGGCTTGCCCGCCTGTCTAAGCCCGCCGCCCCGCGCAAAGAGAAATAATCCCCCCTAGAGGGGGTGTGATCGAAGACGAAAAGGGTAGCTATCGAGGGTGTGGGGGATTCGTTTTGCATGACACGCGGGCAAGTACGAGCGAACAGTCTTATAATGGTTGTTGTTGTTGTTGCCCCACGCTTCATCAAAACAACTGGCAACATCATACACTCACCTCACCAAACCAAAACACTGAGCACCGTACCTGCAATCTCTGGCTTGCAATGGCCAGCTAAATACAAATTATTGTCGGCCCTTCGCGTCGCGTAGCCGGCTTACATTCCCCTCTGGCCCAAAAAGGCCTCCAATGCATCCCTGAACTTTCACCCCTCGCCTGAAACGGCTTGGAACATGCCCACAGCAGTGCTTGCGCTTCGGGTATCTTACTTGGCTTCCCGCGGAATGGGATGGGCCCAGCGAGGTTTCGTCATGTTGCCGCCCGTGGCGGCAAACCAGCAGCCAATACTCATGTGGCTTACGCCATTCCGCCGGCCCCCCGAAGCCGTGAGAGCTTGCCAAGATCGTGGAAGTGATCTTGTGGCCTGCGGCCCAACCCCCACAGTGCCTAGGTTACCCAGGAGCCGCTTGGATGCACATGAGGGCTGACGACGTTTCGTCACGCTCCCGCCCGTTGTCGCCAAATTGCTACCAGTACACAAGTGGCTCACGCCATTCCGTCGAACCCCAGATGTCGTGAGAGCTTGCCGCGATTGTGAAATGTATTGCGTCCAACGTCTCTGCGTCACGCAATACCCCCTTGGGAGCAGTGGCCAGCGGAAACCGTGACAGCCAGGGTGCGTGTCCACCGGTGGTGCGTCACGGCTACGATTTTACACGTTGCCATGTTTCGCAACGTTGCGGCCAGTGGCCACGTCGTGGCCAGCTCGTGCGCCTGGTAGGTTTGCCGAGGGGTCGCCACGTTGCCGTGTCGTGGTCGCCGAGTTGCCGCATAGTTCGCACTTCCGCGCTGCACTAACCAATGCTGCATTCTTTGGGGTCCATGTTGGTATCATGTGCGCCAGCGCTGCCCTGAAGTTCACGAGTCGTCGGTTACGGGGTCCACCCGTAGCCCGCTTTTGGCTCAGGAGCTTCAGACTGCTGCCGCTGGCGGCAGCGTTTCGCTTCCGGGCACCACATAGTACTTCCCTCCCCGCACATATCATTATCACGATAACTTCTGCTCGCTCTGGCATTGCGGTCTTCGGCTGAGGCTGACAACCAGGACAGTATCTAATGGCCTTCGGCTCATCCCGCCGCCTTGCCTAGGTTTTGGGCCAGAGTCGTCAGGGAGGCTGTGCAGGTGCTCTTCCGAGCGCGCTCGGGGGGCCTTCGGGGGCCTGCCCCGGGATCTCTTTGGGTCCTTTTGGGGGCCTCTTGGGGGCCCTTTCGGGCTTCTTCGGGTTTCTGGGGGCCCAGGTCTCGAAATGCCCGTTCGATTTTCCCGTCATCACTCCCGCTTCAAGCCGTCTTCGGCGCGTGTTGGTCCGTATGGGGGGGGGGGGGCTCCTGGGCCGTCGTGGGGTCATCTTGGTTCCTCCCGCGCCTCTCTTGGAGGCCTCTTGGGCCGTCCTCGGAGCGTCGTGGGACCGAAAAAGGTGAGAACGCCCAAATATTTCAAAACAGGGGATCCGTGACTTTGGCTTGCCGGAGCCTTTTTGGGACCATTCCAAATCGCGCCCGGAGCGCGGTGGCGGATCACTACAGCGAGTTGCACGCGACCCGTTCCCGACAAGATGGGCGAGCCCGATGACTTCGGGGCAACTGCCGGGGCTTCCGCCGACCCTGCCAAGAAGCGCAGCGCGACCAACGCCGAGGAGGAGCCGACACGCAAATGGCTCAAGAGTTTCGAGACAGTGCCGTGCCAGTTGCTGAACGCATATGGCGCCTCGCGTTTTCCCAAAATGTCGGACGATCAGGTGTGGGCGGCAATGGGCGCTCCCTTGAGGTCAGGCGCCGTGTGCGCCGCGGAGCGGACGAGTCCGACGAGCGCCGCGGCGTGGGGATCAACAGATGGGTGCACGCAGCGTTGGAGTTCGCGAAGCACCAGAAGGACCCGGCCATCAAATAGCAGAATGAGTTCGTCATGAAGCCAGACGTGTGCAAGGCTTTATCCACCTGCCTACGGCAAGTACCGCCGCTGTGTCTGGTTCGCGGGTTTTGTGCCCCTTAGAATATTACAGTGACCTGCCAGGCAGCCTTCAGCATTCCCCGCGCCTCAACGCGCCAAGGCGCGGTGGCGGATGCACGGAGATTGGCCGCGTCGAGCCGGCTCTTGAGTTTTGCCTCGCCCCCGGGAAGGAGACGGTCAAAGAGGGGGCTGCTAGCCTCCGCCAGGGCGCGGGCAGCAGCGCCGGGACGACGGCTGCGCCGAAGAACCCGGGCGACCTCGCGAAGCACGCCAAGACGCTGTGCGAGTGGTTGGACCCCCTGTCGAAGTCTCGGATCTGCGTGCTGATGAACTGGCAGGGCGCTGGCGGTCTCTCATTCGTGGCCCAGACTCACCAGAGGGCCGCTCAGTGCTTCAGGGGGCACGGCAACGGCCTGCACGATAAGCTCCCCGGCCAGGCGGTCACCTTGGACGCGTTCACCAAGGCCATGCAGAACCGCCACGCCCAGGGGGCCATCGTGGAGACGCACGGCCCGGGGTGCCCGGATTTCGAGTGATGATTCATCCAAGTGGTGATGGCACATCTTAGGGGGTCCCCGATTTTCCACGGGATTTCACATCGGCCTTCGGGGTTGTCATGGCTATTTCAAAACTTTCGAGTGATGATTCTTCCAAGTGGTGATGGCACATCTTAAGTGGTTTGCGATCTGCCAAGGAATTTCACATCGGAATCTCTTGTCAACCACGGCAACTTCACGTATTTCGAGTGGTGATTCTTCCAAGTGGTGATGGCACATCTTAGCGGTCTGCGATCCCCCACGAGATTTAACATCGGCTTTTCCGGGCTGTCATGGCTGTTTCAGCAATTTCGAGTGATGATTCTTCCAAGTGATGATGGCAAGTCTTAAGTGGTTTGC